GCCCAAGTGAAAAGGCACCACATCACCCTCATATACCAACTGCCGTCTCCTCCGCAACTCCCACACCTCTCCAACCCCATAGAATTTCAACATCCCCCTCCATCCCAAAACCCAGCCCAGCCTTCTCTGTCCCAACTCCCCCAAGCGCAACGACCATTCTTCCTCTCCGGCCCGTTAGCCCTGCCGGTTCAATGACCTCATCTCTAGCCCAACTCTCCTCCGATCTTTCTGCACTGCGGGGCATCCCACCAAACTCAGGCTCAATCCCAGGCTCCGGCTCCAACTCCACTGTCATAAATAACCCGACACTAAGCCTCGGCTCCGTCCCGTCTGTAACAGCCATAAACTCCGCCCCACCACCACCACACCCCGGTTTCCCACTAACCACGCCACCGCAGACACCAATGTCCGGTATTTCCCACAGCGCCACAAGCTCGATAAGCGGCAGCGTCCTGGGGAAACGGGATCTAGGTGCCATCAGTGAGTCGGAGAAGGATGACTCGAAAGAGAAGGAGAAGGAGGATGACAACAAGGAAACAGAAGCGAACGATGAAACTGTCGTTGTTCCTGCAGCTAAAAAGAGACGTATTGTTCCTACGTTGATTTCGGGGAGTGATACGGCCGCCTCCGCTGCTCCTGGAGCTCCGGCTACTGTCCCTGATGTCCCTGCTGCAGCACCCGCCCCACAGAGTGAGGAGAGTAAATAAAGCACAAACAGAAATCATTCCCCAGGCCTATTGGTGGCCAGATATTATAGAAGAAGTATCGTATCAAATGCTTGCCTGGTGCAGGTATTATATTGTTTCATGTTTCTCGGCATTGTCAGGAACTTTTGATTTTTGTGTTGTTACCTTTTCATTGTCCCATTCTCCTAACATCTTATTCCTTCATGTTTCACTAACGCCCTATTCCACTGTTTTCTCCATCTCTGATTTATTATACTGGGAGCTTACAACAATTCTCGGTTTCGTTTCCGTTCCCATTGTTTTTCCTTTTCCACCCCCACATATTCATTTCCATTTGTAGTTTTGTTTCTTCCCGGACAGTTTTCCTTCTCCCATGCCGAAGTTATGTTATCAATTAATGAGAATCTTTGATGTTCAACTACTTAGTCTAAATACTCTTTATCAGGCTACCTCATTATGATCTGATCATGTTCATTTCTATTTTGTTTTATATTTTGTATTTTCATTGAATAGGATTTACCAGTTCTGCCAACTTTTCTTCATCACAGGTGTTTCTCATGCTAATATCCTTTTCATTTCATTTATAGTATGATTTGTAGTTGGATCGATTCAATCCTGCTGCTAATGAATTATTTAAATTCATGAAAGAGCTCTGCCAGTCAGCAATCCATTCATTTGTGTCTAATTGGGTTATATGTATCTCTAAAATGAAAATGAGAGAACATATATAGCTTTTATTTGCTCCTTTTTTGTTTCACTAATTTTTCTAATCCGTAAATACAGTATGCCAGTTAACTCATTATGTCGGTGTTTATGAGAAGATGTGTTTTAAATTGAATTGTGACGATGAAAGAGCTCTTTTTGAGGTGGCAAATTGATATCCCCTCACTATGACAAAGCTCAATAATTTTGTTGGCAAAGCTTACGTCTATCAACAAGATTACCTAGATAAAGTAGAGATTAGCCCCAGACTGGTTCATTCATAACCAGTGCAAGGACATGATACTGATAGGGGCCCATATCATAGAGAGCAAATTCAGAAGACCACGGGTTAAAACACACGCTTAAGTTTATTTAGAACTGGCAACCATTAACAGCAATAGTAATTAAAGTAAATGTAAAATGTGGTTTGCGATTAACAGAATGTAAACACTAACTGGCTAATGTTTTTGAATGATTGTGATACATACATACTATGAAATTGATGCAGGGAATGCGCGTAGACAAGAGGTGTGAGTAATAGAAAGGCAGAATGGATACGGGCAGATAACGTGGAAATGATGTGGGAAGTTGAATTGAAGATGTAGGTTTTTATAGATATCTATAAAAAACTTGAGAATGGGATAGAAAGGGGAAGGTTTAGGAACATACACAAATGAGTGATGACGAGAAGGGGTATTTTAGTGATATTTATTGCGTACCCAAGCTAAGACCAGTTATTACATGGGAGGATAAGCAGTAATTGGTGGAGGAGGCGTATATAAAATGAAGTTGTAAACATGGCGGGAGAGAAAGAGGAATGATATGCAAAACAAACAAGAAGAGAACAGTAAGGTATATAAGAGCAAAAGTGGTCTGCATCATCACTTCGGTGGTGGAAGGAGATAACCTGGTGGAATAAGAACCAGGTCGGAAAACAAAAATAGGAAAGGAAATAATACGATTGAATGATGAACGGACTAGAAAAAGAAAATAAAATAAAGGGATCTGAAACGCGAAGCAATAAAAAGGTAATGGCATAAGGAAAAAATAACGTCAAGAGCACATTCTCATATCCCATAATATCCATAATTTTTCAATACTCAACATCAGAATGTCCAGGAGTACAGCCTCAATTTTCCCCAATCCGTTCCGCGCCACTACTTCAGGACCAACCTATTTAGGGATCGCGAGGGATCGACTCCGCACCCACAATCCACAGATTCAGAGACGCCTCGGCTGCACTGTCGGCAAAATTAGAGCGTGAATTTGGAAGAACGTCGTAGTTGTCATCATCTTCTTCATCATCCTGGCTGGCATTAACGCTGCAAACAGAAGTTACGCGGCTCATTTCAGAATCGCGTGGGACTAGACGTTGTTCGTAGGCGTCGTTAGAGTCTACTTTTACGGTCGGGCATTTCGAGAGTGTTGTAGACCTGTAGGCATGGACTTTTGGGGTAAAAGCCGTTGAAGAAAAGGAGGAATTGAGGCGCCGGAACCGTGTACGGACAGAATGGAACATCATAGGCGACAAAGGTATGGGGTTGACTTTGTCATCCTTTTTATGTAGGTGATGAGTTAGAATAGGTTCTATTTTGGATATTTGAGCTAGAAGAATACCCAGATAGCTCATGAGCATATCCAGGATGGAGATCGGATCGGGCATGAAGAGTTGATTGGAGGTTGAAACCAAAAAGAAAATTAATTGAATAACCCACAAATTAAGCACGGTATAGATGTTAATATATGTCAGGGGTAATGTAATGGCCCAATAATGCCCGAGTTTAATAACTCTGAGCAGATACGAGAGCAGGCTGTTGTGGTATGTGTAAGTTCAAATCCATAGTATTTGGAATAGATAAAATCAGTAAATAAAACAGCTCTTCGATTGAGCTGCATGACATAATAGGGTGGGGAAACGATGCTTACGGGACTGTTCAACATGCTATTCCGCTTGTTTCTGCCTTTCTTTATGTGGTTTTTGAGGGCGCTAGAATCTAGTGGTTTCAATAGTTCAAAACTGCATAGTAATTCGGCCGAAACAGACATGATTGCGCCCCAGTTGTCGAATTCACCGCAATACTGTTTAACATAAGGGGAGGGATTAATTAGATCAATCTTCAGGGGGGGGGAGGAATTAAGGGATTGTATGGAAACTTACATTTGGGGCGGAAAATACGGTAACCAGAATCCGCTCACTGAAGAACTCATAACCATCTTCGACTACCATGTGTGCGCGACACACAAGGTCAAAGTCATGACGCTGTAAAAAATCCATTATGACTTTTTTGCCGAAGCAATAACTCACGCCTCTTTCATTGGGTTCCCAATCCTCGTCCATATCGGCAGGATCACTCCAAAGAAGGTCGTTTAGTAATCCGTAGTCGGGAACATCTGTAGGGCGAGCAATGCCGCGGATGTCATCCATATGAGCCAGGCTTGGTGACAGGCCACCATGCACGCAGAAGATCTTGCCGGCAACAATGGCGGCAATCGGAAGACAATTGAATGTATCTACGAAAGTCTTCCAAATTTTAATATTACAGCGGCGCTTACACTCGTCGTAAAATCCGTAGACTCGAGTCACATTGGCACACTCGTGGTTGCCGCGCAGCAAAAAGAAGTTCTCGGGATATTTCAGTTTGTAGCACATGAGAAGTAGGATGGTTTCCAAGCTCTGCTTGCCACGGTCGACATAGTCGCCAAGAAAGAGGTAATTGGCAGCTGGAGGAAAGCCACACATTTCGAACAACCGAATAAGGTCAGTGTATTGACCGTGGACATCTCCTACGATCTTCACAGGTGCCGAGAGCTCGAGCAATGCGGGCTGGGCAAGGAGCAATTCACGAGCTGCTGTGCATATGGCAATGATTTCAGCGTTTTTCAAACAGACAGCTTTGGTGACTTTAGCTGAATATCCCGCATCCAACAACCTTGTGATCATGTCATCTAGATCGATTGATTTTAAGGCCCCGATTCCCATCCCAGGCGAACCATTTGTCCCTGACAGGTCCACAGTAGCATCGTGGAGAACTGGATTTATAGCACCTTCTCTCCTAACGAGAATTGACTCTCCTGGCTTCGCGTGAATGGACGACGGAGCTGGTCGGGAGGGGGGGATGTCGGAAACATGATCGACCTCGCCTAATTTCCGGGCATCATTAAGACTTTTGTGGCCACGACCTAGAGAGGAGGACTGAGAAGGGGAGGGAGGGGGATCAGGGGCATCAACAGGGGAGCGCTGATCATCGGACGTCGGGGAGACGGCAGAGGGCGTGTTTGGAGAGGAGGACGTTGAGGTGCGGTTTATTCTAGAATTGAAGGACTTTGCACTGGTATAAGATTTGACGGAAGCTCCATCCGATTTGTCCAGGACACCGTTCTCAACACGTGCTAAGGCGGAAAATGAGCCTCTGGGGCTGTCGTTCTTGTCGATTTTGCCGCCGGGTATTTTGGAGCGTATAGAGCCACGAATGGACCGGCTAGAGTCCCGTGTGTCTGTACGTGAGATAGAAGGGTAGGATTGGAGGCCCTCACCACCGGATTTTTCCTGAGTTATAACAGCGCCATCACTACGTTTGGATTGTTGCTGACCCATCGTATGTGGGCAACAAAATGTCTGGGATGCGAGGATCCGGATATCGACTTCGAGATAGTCGAGGCAAAGAAGTATTTCAGCCGCCGTATCTGTGCAGTAGTATGGATTCAAACTTCCCGGCTACAATCGACACGAACTTCTCCCCGGAGAGTATGATCGGCCACAAGCTACGGCGGCCACAGCAGGAGAGAAAAAACAAAAAGCTAGTGTCTACGTAAACTCTTGTTAATGCCACTCGCGTTGCTGTAATGGAAATCGCGATGCTCAGTCGACGATCCACGGTTTCGTAAGTAGGAAAAGGAGGAGGTGAAAAGGTATTCGAGGGAAGAGATGACTCCAAGACAGAAGGTATGCGTATTTAACGGCTCATTTGGAGTTATCTGAAAACACATGCACAGTTGAAACAGATATAGAGAGATTTAAACGGACGGGACCAGTGAAGACCTGACGAAGAGCTAAGGAAGGGCTTTCACAGATGACGAATGGCTGCAATTGTTTCTAGAAAAAAGTTAGTAGGTTTACGGAGAAAGCTCTAGGAACCAGGGCAAGATATCCAGGGCTGAATTTAAGCTTAAGGAGCAGGTGGCGGCGAAGAATAATTACTGTTCACAATAATATACATACGGAGCACCGGAGGGGAATGCTGCAGGAAGCAAGGCCGGGCAGAGAAGAAGTGATATTTGCCTCCCTAGGGCTGATCGGGTGATTTCTCGGATGGGACGAAACGTACTGTAAAATCCAACGAGGCAATGGCAGATAACAACAAGATCTCAGACAGACTACAGTTTCAGCGCAAGCGAGCAGTCCAGCATCAACAGAGAAGGTGAAGCAGGTTTTAAGAGAAGGCGATACAAGAGGAGTAGGATAGAGACAGCTAGCAAAAGAGTCAAGCGTTTGCTACTGTTGCTGAGGGATGAAGTTGAAGTTGCTGAAGTTGAAGTTGGAGTTTGAAGTTACAATGAGCGATACATCTAGACTGCTGACTAACAAGGTTCACGACATCCCGGGCCATTGTCGGCCCGCGCCTAGGTGTGCATAGTTTGTCTAAGCAGATGATTCGTCGTTCTTTTTTCTTTTTTTTAAAAATAAACTAAAATAAAATAGGAAAATACAAGGCTATTTATTAGATATAGAGACGGGAGATAGAAGAGAATTCCTGTTGTTTGAGAAAGAGGATCTGACTGTCTGACTGGGACCAAGCGAAACCGTGGTTGCGGTGGGTTGAGTAGGGTCCAGTCGGTGCCCATGTGGGGGTTCAGCTCCATAGTTACCCTTTCGGCCGGAAATGGAAGTGTTACAAGCACCGTTCAGTCTAAGCGAATCCTGTTCAAACACTTCATTGACCCTAAGCCTAGATGGGACCGTTCCACGATCGAACAGCTTAGTCGTATTTATTATGATGTTGTTTGTCATCGCAAACTACTCCATATAAAACCCCCCATTATTATCTGAAGTGATAGGTAACTAATTGATTTTAACTACTATTTGCAGCTATGCGTCCACCTCGACCATATTTGTAGGATTATCCCCCTGACATGTATCACCGTTTACGTGGCATTGAGTGCATACCCGATTCAGAACCATGCTCTGCTGAACACCCACAACCCCGGATATGATTTCCGAATCCCGGCAGCCTGTTCAAGAGGTTAGCAGAGTATAAAGATATCCAGACCCGTGGGAATAACCCCAGACCTCTTTCTCCTATAGTTAGAAACACATCGAATCCTTCCGGTTCCAACGATACACTAATCTCAGAATTCAACAACCGTGACTACACCTGATGCCGATCTGAGATTCGGTTTCCACAAATCATCTGGGAGCGTCTGGGAAAGCTGCAATGCTGATTCGATGCGGACGTTTGCCATCCTGTCTGCCAAGAGTGTGCCGCTCAGACGGTCATAGCGCCTATCCAGCTTTATGCTTGGGGTGGTCATTTTTCCGACCCAGCCTAGTCTTCTGGATACGACTGCTGTCAAATATTCAATGTAAGCGCGAAAAAGTCACATCCTGTTGGAATTGTCCTCCTCCACGGAGTTACGTGGGCAGCGTCATATTAAATACAGGAAATATAATATGATCGCCGATTAAGCGAGAATTAGCGACAAATAGTTAGCATTAGCCAATTATCACAACTGCATATACGGGAACTCTGAAAGAACAAAATGATAAATTTCCAACGTACTGTTCCGGTCCACAGAAGACGGAACATTAATAAGCAGCAAGTTATGGCATGATTGTCCTCTAGCAGCCAAGAAATCATGGTGCGCAAAGTCTGGAAGAATTCAAATTATTCTGTCTCCACTAAGTCGGGCTCCACCCCGCTCCGAGAGTTGTGAGTCGCCTCTTCCGGAGAAATTCACACTTTGCATTTTCCTCTGTGGCGTCCCCCGCACCCCTGCCTAGGGTGCCTCGTGGGCTTGGCAATTATCGGAGAGGGCTCAATCATTGCCACCCACGTTGGATTGCCCCCAACGGCCTGAAATGCGCAAAGGTAGATTGTCACTGGACATTGGCCATTTTGGCGTTTCGGAACGGACCCTAATATTGGGATAGGACTGACCCCGCGAAGCTTGTTGGTTAAGACCAGGAAGAGATTTCTCGTTTGCTTTTCGTCAAGCAAATTATGATTCTCGAAATAGGCATTGATTATTGATGGCCCAGTCTGCGACTCAGTTGCCGAATTTAACTTTCGGCTGATTTGTGAAAATTGTAAGATCGCGTGATGAATGATGATGTTTTCGTTTCCCAATTATTTCAAGAGGAATGTTGAGAAATCTGCAGAAAACAACTAAACACATTTCATCGCCTAGTTTATGTCTCTGAGGCGTAGTGACAAGACTGTCTTCGTCCCTGAAACACCCGCTAGACTTTGGCCGAAAGGTTATATACCTTCTAAGATAATTCTCCAACAAAGCGAGTTAATTGTTGGGCAGCCCGTACGGCGTGCATATTAGAAATCGATGATGAATTCTGTCCCGTCGCGTTCACTCCTAGCGCATTCTGAAATGTATGCTGTGAGTCTGATGGGAGAGCGGACAAGAAGGAGAGAGACATATTCAGATTCAAGATGTGATTCTCTTACAGTTGCGGTATTGGCTATGCGATATTCCGGATGTAAATGAGAGCCCGCTTACATGCTCGTGGACAAGCCAACGATAGCTAAGTTGAAAGGGTATTTGCTCTACGTTCATTGGAATGGCATGGGAAATCGCCTCCGGATGAGCGTGTCGTGAGCTGGTGCAAACAGTGACTCGAGGAGAAAATTCCTGTCTAATTATTGTTCCTAAAATCTCGTCAATAACAAGACCATATACATTGCGCAACTCTCTTTTTTCCGGGATGCTTTGCATTCATTCCACTTGTGGGGTTCAGTGAATAGCTATCGGGTCATTTTTCAGCCCACAAACATTTTCTTTTCCTCGCCACCCTCAGCCTCCCACTGCCTTTGCCATTCTCTTATTCGAGAGCCTATAGTAGAACCTCAGTATCAAACAACCCACACTGATTATTAATAGCAATGCTGCATTCACCCAGTGACCTGTGGGATATCCTTTCGTGGCTTTTTCGGGCTTATAAATCCAGACTCCGGCGATTTGGCCTGGTATGCCAAACGAGACGTTAAGTGCAATTACAAGACCTGAGCTACGCAGTCTGGGCGTTGGATGATAACCAACCGAGAGGTGGTGGGACACGAGCGAATGAACTGCTACAGACGATTTGGCAGCCATAGCTATCCTGTGGCAGATAATTAATTACCTTACCCCGAACTAAGTTGAACAGGGAGAGAGGGGAATGAGATTAGATCAACATTCTAGGTACGCCTCTGGTGTGAGAGGACGGAAGACCCGAGAAATCCCACAGTACCGATTTCTGAAAAAGTAGAAGAGTGTAAAGCTCGACTGCAACACAAACATGTCAAAATTTGGACCTAGAGATAAATATTTCCAATACACATATTGGTAAAAGGGATGAGAAGCTTATGCGTTGAAATAGTCTTCTGAAGATGCCACACTGACAGTGATGTCATATGTGGCAGCATATGCAGTAGCAGTCATCAGCTGAGCATGGAGGTCAGGGAAGCCCAGACCTGCTATAATGGATGGCGTGGACAGGGATAGACAAGAAAAGGGCGTTGAAATGCCAAAATAAATCTGCATTTTTATTAGCTCTTCAAACTACCGTGATACGTAAAATATATAGTTGAGAGGGCGTATGGCATAGTGGGTATAGAGACGCCAGTCAGTGAAGGTCTCTTTAACGTCCTTCCATAATCGATGCGCTTTCGCCTTTGGAGCCCTCTACTCTTAGTCTTTCTTTCACAAATCCCCTTTCTGTCGGAAACAGCCACGTGGCTGTTTCCAGATAATACGCCTTGAGCGTTCTGATGTTTTACACCAGAAGATAAGGTAAAAAGCCAATCGCCCGCGAATAGATCAGCTTCAGACATGCCTGGAAGCAGGCGTAGAACAGTGGCATTGGCATAGTTGTTGGCACAACCGAGACCAGAAGCGACTGCTCCCCATGACAGCGTGGGGAGAGCAATCCATCTCTAGATATGAAAATTGACAAGTTAGTTTAAAGTTGAAAATGAAAATGAAAGGTGTTTGCCTTACGCTGGGTTTTAGTTTCTCCAGAAAATAGTGCGATATGGAACTTCAAAGAGCGTGTATACGATGTTATATCTTTGTCGCATCTTCCGACCCTCCACAGCCACCGATATCACCTATGTTTGATCTATTCAAGTAGCATAGAAGATGGAGAGCAGCTGACAGGGCACAATTCTGAGGTCCTGCTTCCAAACCAGAGCTTTGTCGTTGACGGTACCTTCACTAGAGTACATGTCCACGGCATTCCGGCTGATTATTTCATCCTCCAGCAATATTAGCCATGGGAGAAATATAATTCATAGGTTGCGTAAGAAAGGAAATCTCGCACACTGGAACTGTTTTTGCAGATTCATCCAAGGCCTTTTCAGTCATTTTGACGACCTCGCTTGATGGAGAAGCTTTGCATCGGAAATTAGGTGCTCAAAAGATGACCTGTCTATAAAATTGAAGGGCAAAAGCAAAAATACAGACATTACGGCAATCCCGTCATCACTTCCAGCTAAGCTACTGGAATGGAAACACCAGATTTTATCTTAAGCCGATGTTTGGACGACCCACTTCGAGACATCTTCTATCGGTGTTGAGGATCAACCCTTTTTTGTTGGATTGTGGTTGGAATTGGGTTTCTTATTAATAATAGCCTTTTGAGGGGGAGAATTGTAGAAGCGGGGAGGGCTTTCCGTTCTGGGTAAAAGCTCATTGGAGTGCAAACAATGAAGCAGCGGCAAATATGGAAGGAACTTTCGGCTTCTAGAAGAGATGGATTTTTCGTGCTTGTCAAACACACCAAACCACACCACAGACATTAGGAGAAAGGGTAATGAGGAGCTGGGCGTTGTGTTTTCATAAATTGGCTGGACCGGTACGTTTCAATTGGAACCTATGAGAATAGAAATAAGAGATCGCTAACTGACTTGTGGTAGATCATCCGGGATCTTGAATTTAACGAGCCGAATGTAAATATCGGCCTCTGTGCAGACGCATACAGCTGCTTTCCAGTGGCAAGTTTTAACAATATTATTCCTGGTGGAATCCAGACAAGGGGTTGATCTCTGGTTGCTGCCGAAGTGGAAACCGAAATAAATCGTTTTGGATAGGTCAACAATATGACTGCACCACATCCCACTACCGGGGGAAATGGTACGTTCCATAAGTTTGTCTACTGCTCTTTTCCCTTTTTTAGTTATATACTATTTGAATTCTAAATGCCAGGCTGAGCAGCGGGGCCTATTACACTGGTTAGTACTCCTCCAACCCCCAAAGAGGAGCCTCAGGAGGAAGAGAGTCCACCACCGTTGCTGGCAAGGCGTTTTAGGCCACCTCCCTTGCAAACTCCGCGTCAGACTTTTGCCCACCACAACATGTTCCGCAGGTTTTGGAGAGTGAACCGGGAAAAGCCAGAGCTGCTAGTTTATGCAGCAGGCGTCTGCAACGATGCTGGATCAGGTAGCTCTAGGGCAGCATGTGGTTGGCTCTTCAATGCCAATGTAGCACGGTTCTGCTTCAGGTTAGAGAATTCAGGACCGACGGGCAACATATATCCACAAACAAAAGAGCGCGCTGAGCTTCGAGCTGCAATTCACGCCTTGACCATCCGTCAATGGGCGGGTGAAGGATGGAGGAACGTTGTCATCGCGACAGATTCGAAACATGTCGTCAATGGCGTCACGGGCCAGATATCCACATGGCTTCAGTGGGATTGGCAGGACCTTTCGAGAAGAATGGATGAAGACTGGGATTTATGGGCTTTCCTGCTTGATGTCATTCGTCGGTTGTTCCTGGATGGTGTCAGGGTGTCGTTTTGGCTGATTCCACGTGGATGGAACGCCCCGGCGAGGGAATTAGCTCAACAAGCCACTGAGGCTCCGGATGTTGAGGCTTTTGTAGTTCAAAAGTATCTTCGGTGAAGTGGTCTTTTTCCTTGGCTTTTTTGACTTTTTCTTCCTTTCCGTTAGGGGTGAGAAGAAAGAACAGACCAGGTGTTGGAGTATTTGGGTACTGCATTTACTTAACTGATGTAATGTTTTCTGGCAAAATATTGGTCGTAATTAATTGAATGGTTTTGGATTTTGTATGTACGAATTATCACCAAGTCCAGGGGCCTAATCATAATTTTTAATTAACGGAGAAATATGTTGTTCGATGCTTTCACTCAACCAGAATCCCAGGCGTTCCCTTAAAGTTGACCACTAACCACCCCTGTCAAGCCCGGACGCATTTTCAGGGGAGACACCACTTGGGCGCTGCTGATTGGCTAGTCTTTACTGGCAATGCCTAAATTTATGGTGGGTTGAGCCTATAACTAGCTAAATGGGGAGGCATTGCTTAAGAATCGACGTCACTTCTAACAAACTCTTAAACTGCACAGAGCATCACCCATCACTTGACAGACTCTAAAACAACCTCGTCTTATCATTATCTTCAGCAACCATGTACAATATCTCCTCCTTTAAAGACTCTATTTTAGCGAGTTACCACGATCTTCTGGATTTGATAACCTCCAAATGCTTTTGTGAACTGCTTCCATTGCTCCTCACCACCAATTCTACCACGACCACTCTTGGATTTATCAGCTGGCCAAATGGGCTCCTTCGACGTCTACTGTGCATTTTGTAGCAGCTCATTAAATGGAGCGGCCATTGGTACCGAAACCAAGAAAGACCGCGAATTGCAGCGTCTATTTTTTGGAGAGCGAATGAAAAAGCTCGAAGCTAGGAGGTCCAGGGTTAAGTGCCCCAGTTTTTCAGTTGACCCGTTGATACACAATACTTCTGCTTTCGATGTTGGCATTGAACTACCGGACGAGCCCAGGAGAGAATGCAAGTGGAAGATGTAAAAGCACACAGCGTATATGGCCAGGAAGGTCCTAGAAGAAGGATCCTAATGATGACGGGGAATATGGAGACTCTTCTTACGATCCAAAGCTTGACAACGAAGAGAGTATCAAATTGCTAAATGCTGTGCTTCATATAGGTATAATCCTTGATCACCAGGGCCCAAAAAGTTCGTCTTTACAAGCCGCCCCTCCATTTTCAGTGCTGGTAACAAATGGATGACCAGTTGCTAATCCACATAGGGCCTATATTTCTGGAGATGGTAGGTACTTGGACTATGTATGTACAACCTAAACAGCCCAGGTTCTCCCAGATTCGGCAATGGAGGTTCTTATTGTATAATTAATCTGAAATTGTGGTGGTGTAGATTGCCCAGTAGGCGACAGTATGCAAAAGCTTTTTTGCTTCGGAACTTCCGCACTGTTAAACAGACTGCTGATTAATTTACTTAGATCCGAATGCGCCAGAAGATTCCAACTCTCCTGGAGAGATTGGGTGTGTCTCCTGGTAAATAAAACGCCCCTTCTATGATAGAGAGCTTTCGGAGGAGTGACGGCTTTTTGATGGGCATAGCTGTGGCGTTTGGTTCTAGTCGTCGCTTTTTTGGGTGTGGTGTTGCAAAGGCCAGAGTTTGCCAACGGGTAACTCCCATCAAAAGTGAGGACTGGCATATGCTGACATGGACCCCTTGGATAACCATGCACATACGGCTTGTCCAAGGTATCGATGTATCACATTGTTGCTTAGAAAACCATAGAAAAAGACAGTCTCGCTGCATAAAACCAATGTTTACATCAATCAATTGATTCTCTATCTCGAGTTTAAATCATGAAAATTTTAAGAATTGGATAACAAGATCCTGAATAAGACTTTTTGAAGAAATCTATCTAAAACAAGTTGAAGTTAAAAGAAAAAGCTTCAAATAGTTTAGATTAGAATTCTAATTGTGGAGGATTAATATCTCACACACCGGGTGTTGTGCATCCTCTGTTGCTCAGCGGTCTCTCCGCCGCATGTGGACATAGCGAATATAGATTAAATAGTTACCTAGCTCCTCCCTCCAATATTAGAAGATTAACCATCCCACGTATGATAAAAACCGTCAGATTTCCACAAAAATAAACATCCAGGTCAGGGATTCCCTGTCATTTCACGTGATTAAAACCACTAGCTATATCCAATTTGATTTATTCATCGCTTCCTGAAAATTTACTGGTAATACTAGTTAACTAGTTATATTGCTCTGAAGCCAGTTGAGTACCGGAAATGACACAGAGATAATTGTGCAGATTTAGGAATTCTTATTGGACCTTGTGTTTTTTGTTATTAAATCTTATGTTTGCGAATGGCCCAGTAAGCCATTTATGCATTCTTTCCCGATATTTACAATCAGCTCCTTTCTTTCGAGTTCGATTCCCACCACTCTCAATTCCCGGCAGCACAGCCTTCATACATAGTACGGTTGCAATGTCAGGCGTTTCAACACCCAAAGGAAGGAAGCCAATGCCCTCAGCGCTAACCTTTGACCTGGAGGCTAAATGTTCCGTACGTAATTTCACATCCAACGCAAAGCGAACTCTACCTAATAATACTTTTTTTCCTTTTATTTCAAGACTACGAATGCGCGGGCAAGCACTCTCCACCTCCCTCATGGCCCTGTCCAACTCCCTATATTCATGCCGGTCGCTACGCAGGCGTCACTTAAGGGATTAGCGCCGGAACAGCTTGCGCAGACAGGATGTAAGCTATGTCTGAATAACACGTATCATTTGGGTTTGAAACCTGGGCAGGCCGTGCTGAATGAAGTTGGGGGTGCACATGTCTTCCAGGGTTGGGATCGGAATATTTTGACAGACAGTGGAGGGTGGGTTAATGATCTTTGTCTTGCCATTGGTAGTAATGCTGGCTATCGTCGGAAGGGAGCCGAATTCGGCGGGGGACTAAGCTTGGAGAACAGATTGAGGACAAGGGCCCCATAAATGATGCGGTGTCAAACCCTTACAGGATACGGGAAGACTTTGCTAACTTTTAAGGCTTTCCGGATTGACAGGTTTCAAATGGTTTCATTATTGAAACTTGCGCAGGTTACAGAGGAAGGTGTACGGTTTTTGAGTCCGCATGATGGAGCCCCAATGTGAGCTATTGGCTTTTGTTTTATCCTTATGTTCTCCACGATGATGGTGATGATGACAACGACAGCGATGGCGACGACAACCAATATCAAAAGTTTAGTGATATTTTCAAACTCACCACTCACCATAGGCTCCTTACCCCTGAACGCTCAATTTCGCTACAAAATTCTATCGGCTCGGACATTATTATGCAGCTTGACGATGTTATAGCTACGACCTCTCCCGATCATGCGAGGATAAAAGAAGCAATGGATCGCTCCGTGCGGTGGCTTGATCGTTGCATTGAGGCACATAAGTATCCCGAAAAACAAAATCTATTCTGCATCATCCAAGGTGGCCTGGATTTGGAGCTGCGGAAAGAATGCTGCAAACTAATGGTTGAGAGAGACACTCCTGGGATTGCGATTGGTGGGCTATCTGGCGGTGAGGCGAAAGCCGAATTTTGCAAAGTGTGAGCAGCATGCTCCTATCGATCTTATTGTGTTTGTGTCTCCGGACTTTTACTAATTTCTACCCGGTAGAGTACATACCTGCACTGCGCTATTACCTGAGAGGAAGCCGCGCTATGTCATGGGTGTAGTAAGTTATGTATCTTTTCCTAAACCAATAGAGACAACAACATCAACTAATATTTTCTCAGGGATATCCGGAAGATCTTGTTGTGGCCGTAGCCCTGGGAGCAGATATGTTTGACTGTGTGTGGCCTACAAGAACAGCGGTAAGCGTTTAACTGCACCATCCCAACTTTCTTTGGGGATGATACTGACCTTCTTAAGCGTTTCGGGAATGCGGTTACATCCTTTGGCACCTTGAATATCCGGAATGGGTCATATGCAAACGACTTTAGGCCTATCGAAGAGGGTTGTCAATGCGTATGCTGCCGATCCAAAACACACGGAGGGCTTGAGATTACGCGAGCATACATTCACCATCTTGCTGCGAAAGAAACTGTTGGAGCGCATTTGTAAGGATTCCAATGATCCAAAATTTATATTGAAATGAAAACTATACAGCTTGCTAACCACAATAAAATTGCAGGCTTACCATGCACAATGTCCACTATATGCTCGCGATGATGAATTCCCTTAGGCAATCAATCATTGAAGACAGGTTCCCCGCTTTTCTTCATGAGTTTTTCAAGAATATGTATGGAAGTTCATCCAATATACCTGAGTGGGCTGTTACAGCTCTGAAGGGAGTTGGCGTTGATTTTCTAGCTCCTTAAAACCCCCTTTTGGATTTACGAAACCTTATCATGTGGAGTTACGCCTGAGATCTACGCAGGCATTTATGATGGTTCATTGGGGCGTTTGGAAGAGTTTCCTGCTGATATATAGACTTTTGTGGATTCCTATATACAGACCTGTATTATTTATATTTTATTTGCTTATTATTTATCTGGTAATGACTGGCCAGGAACATAATTGTTAGTTATTTCAACCCAACCCCCCACCCTTGTAGATGTTTTTAGCTTTGGTAAGGATGGCATATTTTCGATGACATAATAACATTAACCGTTCAGGTGGACAATGACATCACTTGTTTTTCTCGACGCGTCCAGAGAAAACCTAGTCAACGCGACAAATTTCGATTGATCCATTGAATAAAATCACGTTCTACTTCATTTGTGTAGCGGACTTCACATCGCTGCGGGCAGATTCCTCAAACACCTCCCAAACCGACAACTGTAATCATGTCTCCCTCTGAAGTGGTAATAGACGACGTCACTCCATCAGAAACTCCAAAACCAGACGGATCCTTAAATGCTCCATCTCCTGTTCCGCCCATGTCATCCCCGAGCCCCTCACCACTTCACAACCCCTCCCACGAAGAGCATCAATATCTCAACTTAATCCGTTCAATCCTGGCAACAGGTGAGAACCGTTCTGATCGTACCGGGACAGGCACCCGCTCCCTTTTCGCCCCCCCACAACTCCGTTTCTCCCTCTCAAAACCCGGTTTTTCCTCCCCGTCATCTCGTACCCCAATCCTGCCCCTCCTGACCACCAAACGCGTCTTCCTCCGCGCAGTTCTTGGTGAACTTCTCTGGTTCATATCGGGCTGCACGTCCTCTCTTCCTCTCAGCGAAGCTGGAATCAAGATCTGGGATGGGAATGGAAGCCGTGAATATTTGGACTCGGTAGGCCTTTCACATCGTGCAGTGGGCGACCTAGGACCCGTGTACGGGTTCCAATGGCGGTATTTCGGCGCCGAATACATCGATGCGCAGACGGACTATACGGGCCAGGGTGTAGATCAGATTGCAGAGGTGGTACGAAAGCTACGCGAGAACCCGTATGATAGACGAATTATCCTGAGCGCATGGAATCCGGCGGATTTGAAGAAGATGGCGTTACCGCCTTGTCATATGTTTGCGCAGTTTTATGTCTCTTTCCCATCTCATGGAGGTAATTCTGAAGGTGGATATGAGAAGGGAAAGGGAACTTTGTCATGTCAACTTTACCAGCGATCATGCGACATGGGCCTTGGAGTGCCGTTTAATATTGCCTCGTATGCGCTGCTGACGCATATGCTGGCACATGCGGCTGATTTGTATCCCGGAACGTTGATACATACCATGGGCGATGCGCATGTGTATTTGGATCATATTGAGGCATTGCAGGAGCAGCTGAAGAGGGAGCCGGTGGATTTTCCTGAGCTGGTGATTAAAAGGGATGATCGAGGCAGTGGCGTTATGGATGGGTGGAAGGAAGAGGAGTTTGAGGTTGTGGGGTATAAACCCCATAAAGGAATTAAAATGAAGATGAGTATTTAGGGGTAGTTTAAAGAATCATGCTCTGGGGTTTTGTTTATTGCAATTCTGCCGTTTAATAATATACATTTTTATCTTGCGTCGGATACATGTTCAGGGTGTTGTTCGTCTGTCCAATGATGATATTGTGCTCAACCTCAACCACCTTTCATAATAATAGTATTGGATATATTCCATCGAATGCCCAATGCGAATGGGATATATATATAATAAATGTCGTAGTATATACTATTAAGACCAGAAAAACTCAATGCAGTCTAATTATCTCTTCCCTTGCTATATCCATACAGTAGATGTGATATGATTCCAAAAAATAATTAAACGCCTTCTGCTATCACAAGATGGGGTTGTCGTCATAAGCCAAACAATGGATGGATATATCAAAAGAAAATGTACATCGAAACGAAAGCCCATAACTAAAGCCACCAAATGCATCACGGAAAGGATCCAGAAACAGTAACATAAAATCAAAACGACTCAACCAGATCTTTCGAATATACTCTCATCGATCTACAAGATCAGGTGGCGGACCCACACCACGAAGCAATACTATCGTATCTCCCTGTGAAATACCACCCGTAAAGCCAATCTTCTCAGAAAAATCCAGGAGCTTCCCCCCTTCAACATGGAAGATACGCAACCTCTCCGCCTCGCCCTTAGCCCGATTATTCACATTCTGTACTTGCAATCTCCGCGCCGCATCGTCCAGAACTTTCCCCACACTCCAAGCGGGGTCGAAGTAGAAGTCGCCCGTCGGGAACTTGGCTGTTGTGGTATCCGCGGACGCCTCAACGTGTAGATAAAAACCGCTTCTGAAGTGGCAAGTTGGGGTCACCCTTTGCTTTCTTCTTCAGATCTGCCAGCCTTGCCATGCGCGCAGCGGCGCTGTTTGGCTTCGGCTTTGGGGTTAAGTTTGCTGCAACGTTCGAAGACTTCTCCTTCCCCCATATCCGCAGACGGGAGAAGGCCAAGCGTGCCTTTTCAGCCTGCGACAGGCCTTGTCCTGCAAGCCTTGCGCCTATCGGGGTAAGTTTCGAGCAGTCATGGTCCTCACGCAGACGATGCTTGAGACAGTATTGGCGGTTGCACTCATTGCAGTGGACGCCGGTGTTCTGCAAAGTGTGGATGAGGGTTTTGCACGACGGGTGAGAACATTGTGAGGAGGTGTAAACGGTGGGTTTAGTTGTGGGTAGGGATGATATAAGGCTGCTGGTATTGCTGGTTCCGATAGAGCGTTTTTGTCGAGCAGCGGCCCATTCGCCGGCGTGTGGACATTTATGTGCAGTTTCCGTCCGGTGGTCGAGACAGAATGTTCCCTTGCAAGATTCACAGCGAAAAGGGAGGAAGTCAAGTTGATTGCAGTAGTCGAATTGGCAGTGTTTGCCGATGGATTCGAGATCGTGCTCGGGGTCCATCTGTGTGAATGAAGATTTGTCTAGCTTTTGGGCCGGAGCGCCTGTATGTGTGTTTTTATTTAACGCCCGGTTAGTCCACGTGCCTTAAGGGCACGTGATCTAGTAGAGTCCGCGTCGAACTATAGGGCGGGTAGAGCTACGCCCGTAGGCGACTACCTATCTAGTAGCTATCTTACAAATGAGGCAAAAATGGGTTGCGTATTGCTGCACCGGCAGAGCCCATGGGTCGGTTGCCATAGAGCAGAGGTTTTGAGAGGTTTTAGGTTTGTGGGAGGGAGGTAGGGGAGGCGGATAGGAAGGAAGGCAAGGAAGGAAAGAAAGGAGAGGAAAGAGAGGAAGGAGGAGGAGGTGGTGAGGAAGATGGGGGCAAGACAGAGGAGAGAATGGTCTGTGGGATCTGATCTGGAGGTGCGCAACGGCGCATTGGACAGATATTCTGATAGAAGGCTGTTTCTCTTAGCCAGTTATTGAATTCTAGGGCCCCACGCGAGGTTGCCAGTGTCTCGCGGAGATTGTAGATAGGCTGGCGCCGCTTTGCTGCTTTTCTTGCAAGAGTGCAATAGTAGAAATGTTCTGGAGTTTTGCTATGTCCGCACCAGCAGTAGCACTCTGCATCTTCATGCTTAAGGTGGCTGTGGTAGGCTGCAAAGTCTCCATGACCTGATCGGGCGGCATAGAGCTTTCCTAATGTGAAGCGTGAAAGTTTTACCTCTGTTGAGGCTCTCTTTAGTGGGATCTCCAGCTCCATATAGCGTTTGGGCTGATTTTTGGCCCAGTAGTTCTCAAAGGCCCGTGTGGTTTGTTCCATAGTGTGTCGCTTTATATAAGCTAGAGTGCCTATGCTGTCAGGTTGAGGTACCATGCTTGCACTTGCTGCCTGCGCTGCGGCTGCTTTGGCTTCAAGATCTGCCTTTTCATTACCAGCCACGCCTGCGTGGCCTGGGACCCATCTAATGACCACCCTGCTCTGGGTGGCCAATGGGAGCCTATCCCTGCTCTGCCAGGCCTTTATGGCTTTCAGAAACTGCGCGAAGACCTGCTGGCTAGAGGTGTTTGGCACGGATCCAAGGGCTCGTGCTACCTCCAAATTGTCTAGGCAAATGTAGACGTTGCTGGCAAACTTCGCCTGAGGCAAGGTGGTGGCTTCCTTTAGGCCCTGCAGGGCTGCCATTGCCTCTGCGTCAAAGACCTCTGCTTTATCCATTGGCAGGTTTCCTGTGGAGATTAGATGGTGTTTGCTACCCCAGCATATAGCCCATCCTGCACCAGTCGCACGCTGAGGGTGCTCTATCTGTGAACCATCGGTAAAGACCACCAGATCCAGGGGATTGCGTTGTTGTAGCCAGCTCTTAAAGTCTTGTGCTGCCTGTTTCTTTGTGCGGCCTGCCTCATACCCAATCTGCAGATCTTCTTTCCTGGGAAATCTCATCCAAGGGGGCGTGAGTAGAGGGTCATATGCTTCTATCCCACCAGCATGACTGGACGCTCTAGACAGACGTGTGGTATAGGGTTTGGTGGTAGCTACTTTATTAGAGCGTCTCACTAGCGGGTGCCTCTTGTCAAGCTTTTTGATTCTTACTGCAAATACAGCACGCCGGTTGTCTAGTGTCTCTTTCATTGGCATGATTCCTAGCTCACGGTGTAGAGCTGAAATGGGTGTGGTCTTGTAGACTGGCAGTGCCCCTCGCAAAGCATCTCTAAGGGCTAGATCTAGCTTTCTGACTAGGCAATCCATTTGATTGGAGATTTCCTTTCCCTTCTCCATTCGTGTGGCTCCAGGCCACCAGGCCTCTGCTCCATAGCAGAGCACAGAGAGCACACAGGCCTGAATGGATTGTCTAAGCAGTTGTACTGGGGCGCCTCTTGCTGTGTTGCTTAGTGCTCATATGCCATTAGACACCTGTCGTGCCTTAGCCGCCATGGTCTCCACGTGTTTCTTGAAGCTCAGTTTTCTATCTAGCCAGATTCCTAGATATCTTATGGAGCTTTTCACTGCCTTTGCTGTAATAGAGTGAGTGCCAGATGTTGTTTCAAGGTCAATTGAGGGGTTTGAAAGGGTTCTGCGCCGTGTGAAGTGTGCTATCTCAGTTTTGGCAAAATCAAATGTCAGCCCTTCTTTGCTGGCCCAATCATTTAGCAACTTGAAATCCTCCTGGAGAGTAACAACATTCCCTTCAAGAGTGGTTCCAGCACTAAGCAGTCCTAGATCATCTGCGTAGCCTAAGCGTGCACGTCTTCTTTGTATAGTTCCTAGAAAGAACAGAGGCTGAATAAACAGCATGAATAGAATAGGTGAGACTGGCGAGCCTTGTGGAAGCCCTGCTGGGATATCAAAGAGCTCTCCCAGGAGTCCATCCAATCTGATCCTGCCTGTGCGTCCTGTCATGAAGCTTTCCACCCATCTAATTAAATTTGGTGGCCAGCCTTGTTCTTGCAATCTCCGCAGCATCCTTCCTCTGAGTACAGCATCAAAAGCACCCTTGATGTCCAGAGTAAGAAGAGAGACTACTTTTCCATGGGCCCAGGCTTCCTCTATATCATGAACCATCGCTGCCACTAGGTCTGAGGCAGCCCGCCCAGGGAGGGCTCCAAAATGCTGGGGGTGGACAATCTTCTCTTGTATAGCTGTCCAGGCCAGCCTACAGGCTACCAGGCGTTCCAGTCCCTTCCCCAACGTTGAGAGAAGGGCTATAAGCCTGTAGGATCGCGGGAGTGTTGGATCTCTGTTGACCTTAGGCAGCACAACCAGTGTGGCATCTCGAAAGGAGGTTGGGTGCCAGCCAACCCTAAGGCAGGCTCTGAACAGCCTTTCCACTGATACCTTAATATGTGGCCATGCCTTTCGTAGCACCTCTGTTGGCACTCCATCAGTTCCTGGAGTGGTATTACCCGTGTTCAGCAGAGAACTTTGTATCTCATGTGCTGAGGCAACAGGAAAAGGTAATTTGACAGATGGTGGGTTGGACCAGCTGATTGGGATATCCTCTCTGCTTGCAGCCTTCTGTAAGAGCACCCGTTGCAGAAGGTCTCTTTTCTCTCTAGGGGTTGTTCGCGTTCGCCCAGTCTCTTCATCTACAAGAGGGGGGGAATGAAAGGAGCCAGTTGAATGGGCCCATTTGATCATCTTAAAGATATCTTTCCCCACTGAGGCCTCTGCTATCTTGCCTCGCCAGTATTCTCTCTTGGCTTTCCTGGTGGTCCTGGCTACGTTGCTTTTTGCTTCTCGTAAAAAACTAGAGCCTAGGTGCTGTGCACAATGTAGTGTTGTCACTGCTTTCTGGCAGTTCTCATTCCACCATGGCTGACCTGTGCCTTGCCCAGTGCTCTTCTTGGTGGAACTTTCCAGGGAAGCTATTAGTGCATCTGTGATACCTTTAGCCAGGGCATCCAGCTGATCTGTATTGGGGTACTCTGGGAAATCACATAGTTTGTCTAGTTTTGGCTTATAGGCCTCCAGCGTCTGGTTAAAGACCTTCTCATTCATGGTGTCAAGACGGAAAAAATGGGTTGGCCTGTCAGGCCTTGCGCCCTGTGGAAGGCTGATTTTGGTGAGAAGAGTCTGGTGGTCAGAGGAAGTGTAAAGGGATCTGTCCACCTGTGTGTCCACTCCTTTGATAACTAATTCCGGGGTGGCCCAGGCCAGGTCTATCATGTTATGCCCACGTGTGGGAGTGTCTGGGTCCATGGTGAGAGTAAAGTTGAAATTCATGGTCCATTGCAGGAATGGTTCCGCCCACATGCTTGGAGGCACTCCTGGTTGCCACACGGGGTGCTTGATATTGAGGTCGCCAGCAAGGAGCAATGGGAGTGCTGGGACAGACCAGGAGAGAAGACAGCCCACACCTTGTCCAGGATTCTCTGCGCCTGGGGGTGCATTGTATATGTTGACTGTCTGAAGCTGTAGACCCCAGGCCTGTATGTGCAGCATGTGGATGTCCCGGTTTTCTGCCCAGGGGCCTGGGACTGCATGAGCATGGATTTGTGGGTGTTTACGCACATAGGTGAGGACCTGTGGCTTCCTGTCCCACTTTTCAATTGGGGCAAAGCAGTTGAATGCTGGATGCTTTTTGGAGATGCGTTGGCTTAAGTTCCTGTGAATCCAGGGTTCCTGTATGAGAAGAATGTCAGTCTTTCTTTCAAACGCTAGATTGAGGGCCGTCTTGTGTGCTGGGCCCTCTTTTCCTACATTGACTTGCATAATCTGCAGGAATTGCGGAGATCTAGAGTTCTTCTTCATTGAGTAGCTGAAAGGAGGGTGTTGTTGCGTGAGATGACGTGTTGGGTGTTGCATTAGATGTTGGGTTGGGCGCCATGCCTAATGCTGTGCCTGATGCTGTGCTCAATGCTGTGCTTGGTGCTGTGTTTGATGTCAGTGTGAGGTTAGATCTATGCTCAGTAGAATCATTCAACCTCAGGTCTGCTGATGGCCCTCAACCACCGCATTTGCTGTTACTTGCCTTGGCCAAGTATGCCTTACTCTGTGCATTGCGGATATCCCTCAGCTGGTTTCTTGAGTGCCTTTGAACAGTCCCATTCTTTATCCCTGGTCTGGCGGGGCAGGATGGATCATCCGCGGCATGTGGTCCAAGACAGTTAGTGCAGTGATTGGGGCATCCACATGCTTCATTCTCCTTATGACAGGATGGATTTCCTTTCACATGATTCTTAGAACTGCATTTTTTGCAGTGAGGGACGCGGAGGCAGTATCTCTCTTGATGAAATCCCCAGCATTTGCTGCATTGTTGTATTTTGACCTTAGGTGCCTTTCTGATCACTGGTCTTTGATATCCATATAGTTCCACTTTTGATGGCAGGTTTACTGCTGTCTCTTGCGAAAAGTGTAATATAAGAGTGGCTGTTGGGTTTCCAGGGTGTATTTTTGCCCAGTGACTCTGGACAGGCTTGATTCTGGTTTGGAGTGTGAATTCTTCTGTCATGGATTCTGCTGAGAGATGCAGAGTTCCACCACCATAGTCACTAATCTCCATGGGCAGCCCAGGAATCAGGCAGGTGATTCAATGTTCTTCCTTCTCTATCTGAGTATTGGTGAGGGTGGCTGCTAAAACATTCTTTTGGGCTAGCAGGGCCTCCATGTCTTGCAAGCTTCTAGGAATGATGGCAATGCCTGTGGGGATGGCTTGAACTGCTGTGATGGCTGCTGCCAAAGGCCCTGGGAGTTCAGCCTTCAGCTTTCTAAGAGTAGCAATTGGGCTTGCTTTGCGAGCTAGATGATCTGA